ATCATCTTATAAATAGATCGTTCTCTTGGCGCTTTTTAAAGCAAATAGGTCTGCTTATAATTGTTCAATGGTTGAAAACATAGCTCAAAAACTTTTCTTTCAATTCGGTCCTATATTTAATAGGAATACACACACAGTCTCACACACTCTCTCTATCTCACTCTCTGCGTTTCCCTGTGCGTGTATGTGTGTGTGTGTTTGTAAGATCCAATCCGTTTAACAAATAAGAACAATACCAAAATAAATGTGAGGTTTTATTTAAACTAATCAGCTTTATTATTATTTATTCCTTTTACTGTAAATGCTTCTGAGCCAAAGTTTTTAAAAGTGTCACAAAGAAGAATCCTAGTGTCACTCGAAATAGATTTTCAATAAAAAAAGATTACTTCAAATAAAACCTTATATAATTAATTATTAATGTAACAGCGAACAACCATAACTAGACTACAAAAATATATATTTTTTATAGAATTCTTGTATAATTAAAAAAATTGTTTCATTCAGGGAAAAGCTACTTTTTAATATAATAAAAATTGGTAACATCTTGATTACAAAAAATTACACATAAACTATCCACCGAAAATAGCGAAATGCCTTTCATTTCAAATTAAAGTAATAATTACCTAATATATAAAATTCAGATTAAATCGCATATACACATTAAAAAATAAGATAAACAAACCCACTTCTTTTATGACATTTGTTCCATTGTTGTAGTTCCAATAAATTATATTGTTTAGGAGTTTTCTTGAAACGTTTTATTTATAAATATCTGGATTATTAGTATGTGCGTGATTTGTGTGTGTGGTAGTTGGTTTGTTGTTTGGAGACTCTCCACCTTTCCCCAAACTTACTCTCTCTCACTCTCTCTCTCTCTCTCTCTCTCTCTCTCTCTTTTTGTGTGTGTTTCCCAGTGCGTATATGTGCGCGCGCGCGCGTGTGTGTGTAGAATCCAATCTATTTAACAAACAAGAACAATACCATAATATTTAAACAAACCTGTGAGAAAGAGAGAGAGTAAAGGGGAGAGGGAGATGAGAAATTCTAAAAAAACAACAAACAAACTAGCACCCACAAATAATGCAGAAATTCGTGAGTGAGGGAGAGATAGATAGAGCTAGATAGGTAGATAGATAGATAGATAGATAGATAGATAGATAGATAGAGATAGATAGATAGATAGATAGATAAAGATAGAGAGAGAGAGAGAGGAGAGAGAGAGTGAGAGAGAGAGAGAGAGAGAGAGAGAGAGAGAGAGAGAGAGAGATTGAGTGAGTGAGTGAGTGCGTGAGAGAATGAAATTATAGGCTTATGGAAAACCAAAATTAGCTCTTTCTCCTTTACCATTATATCAGTTTATTAAATGTAATAAAAATGTGTACAACTACATTTTAAATTTTTCAAATATTTTCTTCGCGTAATTTCCTAGTGACGTTATCCTTGAAAATAATTGTCTTAATTATCAAATAGGATGCAACAATGCAAAAGGTGCATGCAAAATGTTTCCTTGTACAAATAATTAATTACAACGTGCAGTTTAATAAGTTTGATTTCACCTTTGCATTTTCAATGGTACACAAATAGTATTGATTGTGAGGAAAATGCAAGCAAAACAATAATAGATGAAGAAAATAAGGATCATCTTCAAGTAAAGAATGTTTCAATTTTTGGTTTTCTTTTTTCGGTATTTTAATCTTTATTAATGAATATTTGTAGTTTGGTTGTTTCCAATCGTTCTGGCCTCCTTTTGCTTATTGGTTTCATCCGTTAAAAGAACTTCGTCGTCACCCCGTTGGTAGGTTTATATACTGTCAATCAGACCTTTGTTGTTTATTTCCTTGCGTTTTCAACGTGGAAACACTGTTTTTAGATAAGTGCCGCAATTTATGTTGAATCGGTTATACCGTAAAAGGAAAAAACTCTCAACCTTCATATTGAATAAATCATAGTTTAAGTGAGCACTAGGAATGGATTATATATCGATGCAGTTTTATATTTAGCACTCTAAAGCCTTGGTTTGTGAAAGTACGTGCAGCTCAGAAATTGCGTTTAACCATCTGATAAATTTGTTTGAAAAAAAATTAATTTAGTTTCTATTTTTAATCCAAAACCATCAAATAAGACATATCTTTTCACTTTGTTTTCTTTTCCTTATTTACTTTATCAGTCGCGATAAAATATTAAAGTCAAGGTTTCGTTCTTTAAGTTATTCTAAAAATTAGATCATCTTCTATTTCTTCTAGTTAGTACAAGTACGTATATTTTTGATGTAAGGAAGGACAGAATGGATTCCCAACTTGGCCCTACATCAAAGAGATTAAACGAAGGGAAACGTGTCACTAATGCAAATACGACCTACTTCACGTGTTAAACAGTCTAAATGAGATTCTCCACTTAAAGGCAAACAAGTTGCCACCCTTAGTATTTTTAATTATTTCTTAGACAACCCTTCAGTGATTATCTTACAAGAATATTTCGTCCGTTTTAAAGGATTAGAGGTAAATAAAACACAGATAAAATCTCTCACATAGTGTTTACAATTGGATTTTGTAATTAAATCTTTGAAAAGTCAATTTCTTCATTGTTGGTTTTTTTCTGTAAAGCTTCTTTCTAACGTTACGGAGGTTTGAGTTTTTTAAGCTGAACCATTTTTAAGTTTTAAATTTGTTTGAGTGATGGTTTTAAGTGATGCAGATTCGGCTAGAATCATAGCACTGTTTGAGGAAGGAAGCAGTCAAGCAAATGTGGCCCTATCCAACTGTAAAATAGAGTGGGTCAAGAAAAAAAATAAATTGTAATAATAACCTATAGAATAGAAGAATAATAATATCAAGATGATAATATATTTTTTATTAAAATATATAAAACGTTAAACGGATATGAAGAAAGAGTATGGACTGTAGGAAAAAAGCTAATTCAGTTGTTACTAATAAGCTTTCGACCTATTTTAAGCCTTCATCAGGGGAAAACAAACTTAAATATATTCACATATTAACCTATTTATGGTTTTTTACATGTGATCTCAAATTTCCTTGAAGACCGATTCAGCCTAACATTGCTAAAGACTGTATCAGTATTACAGTAGCACTGATGGAAGATGGAAGAAGTCAAGCATATGTGACCAGGGTGCTTAATATTCCCAGAACTCTGCCAAAACGGTCTTTCTTGCTTAGGTTACTTAATAAGGAAAGGATCAGGTCGTCGTCATGTCACAGCTAAGATATTTTGGTTGTCTCCGTCTATGGAATAGAGTGGATCAATTCAAAAAATAAATACTAATAAAAATCTATAGAATAGAATAATAATGACAAATTTTATCTCAACTGAAAACCTTAATTAATTGTAAGATATTAATTGGTCAAGCGGACCACAAAACTAGTGAATTTAATAATGTCAGTATTATCAAGATAAGATAATATAGTTTTTATTAATATATACTAAAGACGGATATGAATAAGGAGAATGGTCTTTAAGAAAAAAGCAAATTTAGTTGTTACTGCCAAGCTTTCGACCTATTTTACGGTCATCAGGGGAAAACTTTGTTAAATATGTCCAAGATTGGCATATTTAGGTTTTTTAGAGATGAACTCAATTTCCTTGAAGATCGACAAAGTCAAACATAGCCAATGACTGTAACAGTATTCCCGAGATTAAATTAAGAAAGCATAACATTTTTGAAATAGAGGCTGGCTATGTTAACCATCAACGCCTTCAAGTGAAGCTGGTTTAGTATTCTCATAGACAAAAGGCAGCGTGTTTGGAAAATTGATTAGTTTTCACAATTCAACCTGTACCTTTTTCTTGTTGTTTAAATTTTATTTTTCAATTTAAGCTTACATGCAAAATAAAGGTACAGTTCCTGATTCTAAATATATCACCTTCCGTGCCGGAGAGGATCGTTCTTCAGTACAAATAATAAACGACCGAACTATAACCATGACCCTGGTAACATGCGACGTGTTCTGTTGAATTTTTCATTTATCATATAGTTTGTTCATTTTATTATAGTTAGGAATAACAAAGTGAAAATGCCATTGAATATAAATTTGGATGAAAATAGTAGACATGACTGGATAAATTTTTATTGTTAAGATTTTCATTTAAAAATTAGTTATTTACGCAGCGATACACCGCTTTAGAAATTTAGAAAGAAGTTTTAAACCTTTAACTTTTGAAAATATTCCTTTTTGACCTTACATAGTGAATCGTAGGAATTATTTGAAATTATTCAAAGATGATTTCCAGTTTCTTTTATAACGTCAACTGGAATATATTTTATAGTAGTGTAATGCAATGAATAATTAATTAGCAGAATAATCTATCTTGACTGATTCGAAGTGATAAATTATGAGATTCAGGAAGGCATTACGCAGGTAAAACCGGCTTGCTCAACATGAAGCAACTTTGTGATACATGAAAAATCAAGTTCTATCGTATAAATAGAAAATGTTTCGAACTATAAGAAAAAGTTTTTTTTTTAATTTCGTATTATCGACCAACGACCTAGTTTTTCAAAAGTTTCATTTTCATTTCATTCATTCATTTGAAATAATACGCACTTGCCAGTCCAGGGGGGAGTTTGGGGTGAATTAACTACAGATAAAAAGAAAGTATCTATGCCTCGTTCATGGAATTTAATCCTGGATCACTGGGGTAGAAGAAGAATACAAATAAAACTTGTATATTTTTAATAAAATAAAATTATTTCTCTAGAAAATTGTTTTTTGGGCTGAATTTAAAACAAAAAGTTCTCACCGATTGGCCGGTTTTACTAATGAAAATTCCAACTTTTCTAAGTGAAATAGGACGGCCGTTTTCACTTTTCGGAAATAAAACTATTTCAGGCCATTCTTTCTACATACAAGAAAGAGTGAAAACATACTAAGTAAAGAAATCTAGACTTGAATATTTTGTCTTTGTTTAAATATAATCGAAGCCAGTTTTCATGAAAGGACCGGATTCAAACCAGTAAAACGAGGAATCATAAATAAATTAGACTGTTTACAAAATAAATTTATTCCTTTTATTTGTTAACATCTTTTTCATACAGAGATATTTCGTCTGAAATTTATACAAAAAATACACTATGTAACAATATATTGTATTAAAATAAAAAAATGAGTTGTTAACTATTATTTATATATCTCTCCTTTGATTTGTTGAATAAATTGGAGTGTGGAGTGACAAATAGTACACAAAAATTTAAACAATGGCACTTGGTACAACAATATTTACAAAATACGAATCAAGCAATAAAAAACTAATCTTTTCCTTCGTATGTACAAAATACTTCGTAATTGCTAAATTAATCGTAGGCCTAATTGACAAGATAAGGCAATGAGATCTCGTTTAATACATAAATAGTCTATACAGTTGTATCAGGTTTCGAATACCCAGTCGCAGGGTAGCTTGGGCATGTTCGAAGCCGGCCAGGGAAGGTAGCCCGAAGTCTTGAAAACCCAGTAATCGTAGGAAACTTTGCTGACCAACAACAATAGGAGGAAAACCTCCGCGGCGATAATGTAATATATGTAATCAGTCCAGTCTTTTTGATAAACGCACACCTTGGTATGGTCGATATTTTTCACCTGGGGACAGAATAATTTTTAAAGGCGAACAATTTTTATTTATACTTTTTCAAAGTTGTCGGGACTCACTCTTTCAAGATCTTTTTCACACAGCAGCTCGTCATAGTCAGGGATGTGCTCAGTATTAGCAAGCAACCATAACTGTAAAAGAATAAAATATTTAATTATAAAATAACTCCTAAGAATACATTTGTTTCGAAAAGTCACCTTTAAGACTTGCGCAGTGCTGCAATCACAGTTCAGTCTGTTTCCTCCAAGTCTGACACGCCTAATTTGATAATTTCTATCAAATGTGTTGGACAGGATGTAAATCGGTATCTAAAAAAATTATCACCATAGAACGGAAACCTCTGAAAATTTGTTATTAAAACTTACCGTCCGAAGTCTATTTTCCCTGAGGCTTAAAGTAGCGAAATTGTCTATGAACCTTGTGCCTTCCAGGGTCGTGATTGAATCAATTTTGTTATTATCCGCTATCAGCTCTATCATGGCATGGTAACTAGGGTCCGTAGCCAGGCGGTCTAAAGATGTTATCTGTACAAATAAACAGATTTTTATTTCTTTTATTCATCCAAATATCGTCCAAATGTCGCAAGTGTGTTATAAATATTATAAGACTATAAATACAAAACCGGTTCTGTAATCAAGTTAATAAATATAAGAACGGATGTTCTCCAAGCTTCGAAATCTTCAGAAATGTACATTTGCATATGCAGGCAAAACAAGAAATATCTAAATATTCGACACAAAAAAATTTATATTTCTTTTATTTTTGAATAGCCTCGGTAAAGATCATATAAATGCAAAAACATTCCTGTTCTAAAATACACTGAATGCGGAATCGTTTCAAAGAAGATTTATGTTGTATTTATCATGTTTTTTACTAGCAAACATATGAGTACTTACAAAAACACAAGTTCTCATAGATGTGGTTAAAAAGATTTTTTCGTTAAATAAACACACTTTCATAAACAATTACAATAGGTAAACTTTTTAATACAATAAATACTTATTTAAAATTAATATGGCTGTTAATTATTGCAGAAAAATATTTTAACTAATTATTTTATTGGATTATGATCGATTTCACGCGAATTTATTGTGGTTCACGTTTTAAAACTGGCTTTTGATAGGGTTTGAATAAATTTAAACGCTTTCTACCCGCCCTACATTACCTTATCCTGGAATCAAATCTAACTAATCGCTGTCTCAGAGCGAGGTTCTACAGGGAATACACAGATGAGTACACTCCGACAGCCCACAAGGAAACTTTTTTGGCCCTATCTTGTTACCATTTACACTGCTGACATTCCTATACACCCCAAGACCATGATTATCATCTATAGGAATGATACCACAAATCTTCTACGAGTGCTATTCAAACAACCTCCAACATCCAAGAATCCCCTGCGCTTAATAAACGCTAGCGCCAAAAGTGGATGAGAAGTCTGAATGAAGAAAAATGTACAGAGTGTAAATTTTCATGGAACAACCAGTCTTACCGTCCACTCCCGCACCACCGTAGATCACCCAAAAAAGAAGCTACCGACTTCCCCTCAAGTCAGATTCTCAAGACTATTCCTAGACAACAAACTTACGTAGAATCCCACCGCAAGATTCAAGTGCCAACTACGAAGACGATCCAGGACTGAAATTTGTTTTGATCATCAAAATCTCACCGTCTATCTAGATATGACATAACCACGACCACTTTCAACATATGGAAATACGTTGGTTCCAGACATCCAATATCTATAGTCAAAGCTCCTTACAACGTCACCAATTTTACTATCATCAACGATGTCAACATTCCTTTTGTTACGGAACTGATCGGATCTCGCCAAAGTTAAGTTTTCGTCCATCTGACCAGCCATATTAACACGTTCCCATCTTGAGGACCGGCCACGATGTTTTAAACGATGATGATTTCGAAACCTCCTCGCCCTTTAAGACATCACATTGAGGCCAGTTTTGGTTTCCCGAAGTATAAGGGTTAGGGGACCGCGGTAGCCGAGTGGTTAGCATGAGAGACTCTCACGCCGCGGTCGTGGGTTCGATTCCCACCGTTGCACCTGGCCCTTTTTTCCCAAATAACCCCCCAAATTTGAACACACATATACGAATTTGTCACATGGCTAATATGCATAGTTCATAACGCAAAAAAAAAAAAAAAAAAAAAAAAAAAAAAAGTTAAATAAAAAATATAGATTTTTTAAATATAGAATTTAATAAAAATATAGTTAGCTACTCCCATCGTCCACACACCTCCAATCTGATATCCCTGCGTCAAGACGCCCAATTTCAACCTAGTCGTCTCAATTGTACAGGCATATTCATAATTTACGCACCTATACATTTCATACAGATTTGATTCTCTAGACATTAGAGACCCATGGATAAAATAAGTGTCATATTCTCAAAAGTCGAGACTGTATCTTCCTGTCTTATCTCCAGGAAAGAACATGATCCATATCGAACATACAGCTTTATTTTTCTTAGCAAATAGTTTTTAGCATAATTGTATGCCTTAATCGATTTTACGGTAATTTCTGCACTTCCATTCCCTACAGTGTCCCGGAACACCGATAAAAACCTACATTTTCGGATTTCAAAATATCGATGGAAAGAAAAATGTCCTGAACTTAGAGTTGTTTTGAGGAATGGTTCATATTTGTAATTCCTAGTGTTTTGATAGATTTAAATATTGTAAACCACAAGTAATGCAACCTTAACCCTCTCATTATTATTTATCATTACATTATTATTCAAGGATATGTCTGTAAGCAGGTGATAGATTTAATGGGTCATAGTAATTCAACTCTGCACACAGGACGGCAAATAATTTTTTTTTTAACTGTTCTATAATTTGTTAAAACGAGTATGGACAACTATTAGTTTTTATTTTATGGTATGGCCAAAGTGTTGTGAGTGAGTGAAAGAGGGTACTCTGACCGCGTTTTTATCCCTATTTACAACCCTGATCGCTTTATTGTTGTTTCGCATGTTTTTAATAGGTACTATATTTTTATTTATTGATATATCACTAGAACTCTAGGTAGGGTGTTCGATAATACAGATAGAAGAACAAACATAGTCCGTCTAGAATTAACCATAACATAGTTGTTTTTTCCACGCTTCCCAGATTTGAAACTGTCTCGGTTTAGTAAAATTTAGCAAGGAAAGTGTAAAAATACTCACGTTATTGTACGATACGTCCAGCAATCCCGTGTTAGCCGGCAGGCTGGGCAATTCGCTCAAATTCAATCCAGAGCAGTTAACTTGGATCGTATTCATAGTTTTATCAGCAACGAAAAACACCCGGTAGGGAGCACAGGTACATCGGTAGTTCGGCCCTTTGGGGCATTCTTCTTCCAGCTGAAACAGATATAAAATCAACAATCCAAACATAGAGGGACGGGCCAATGGATAAAATATACGTTACCCTTTTCCATGTCTCGACCTGGTCCAGAGTTACAGACAAGGTACTGTTAAACCATTTGAAGCTCGTCACGGATTCGCATTTTGTCAGATTACTGTGTCGAAAGGTCGGAGTATTTATTGAGGGGGGGACTTCTATTAAGGATCTAAGGTCTGAACACTTCAATTTTGGATTCTCTAAAAATAGAAATATAGAATTATTTAAATAAACGGTCAATCTTTCTCAGTTATTGCTTGTAATACTTATCATACGAGACATGTTTATATAAATTTCACCATTGATTGAAAATGTAGTTAGTATATTAGAAAATATGGATAGTATTTCTAGTTCAAAAGAAAAATACCACGTTTTTTATTTTGTCCAGTTGCAAGTCCTAACTATCTGCGATGAGCAGCTTGCTATTATTAAAATATAGATTTTTTTTGCATTTTTATGTATTATTCTATGTGTGTTTACAGTAATAAAGAAGAATAAATCAAAACGTAAAAATTTCTTTTGAATACTTCTGAACTGACCTATGTTGTGTTTTAGGCCATTATTCGACGAAAGGACGCACAAAACTTGTGGCAAATCACATGATGTGCCATTTGCGAAAATACCTCGGTGGCACATAAGGCAAAGATATACTACAAATCGAAGTATGTTCTGTCCTAATCAACGGCGAATGGGAAATGGAACAAAAGACCTTTAAAAGCAGTTCCGCTTCACCTGATCCCACAACGAGCCGACCATCTCTTGGAACCGGGCCAGTTCTTCCAACAGGTACCGTAAAAAATTAATGTACATTAGTTCATGCTCATAGGGACAATAGGTCATGCAAACATCACGAAAAAAATACTGCCATTTAGTAAATGAAATAAAACTATGTGAACAAAACGATAAAACGATAGCGTCCTGGTTTCTTCTGAATTTGCAAGTTTGAAGGAAATCTACGTTGATTTACAAGAAGAATGGAAATCATTGTTTACTTTTCACGAGAAAACAAAGGCTTCTTGAAATAAAATAGGTCACCAAGGTGATTTCATCAACAAGCTTTAACATTTACGTTACTATCATGCCGTAAAGATAATAGTATTTGTCTGTAATTACGCAACTTTTAACTATTAGTAGGCTAATGTCGACTATTGACACCAAATGCCGGCCACTTGACTCAACGAGGCGCTCTTGCAAATTGGCCTAATTTTGAAGTTATTCACTGGTCCCCTCATCTCGCATGACAATCGGGGCCCGCGAAACCTTTTTGACGGTATTTCTCATGATATTGATTTTTTTGTGTTGTTTTAGAGTCGTTCACCCCTAAAATCACTAAAGTTATTCCCGCTTTTACTCGACTCACGGCGGTTTTAAGTAAATATTACAAGTTTTGTTTTTATTTTATAGGGATTTTTCTTTCCCCTTCACCCTCAATTTCTGTCTATATATCTATAGCCAATTATTTTTTATATAATCATCTTTTTTCCTTATTTCCTAGGCATATAATTCAGTTGTTTTTTTATAAGAAAAATGACGACTGCGTAAAGCACAATAATTTTGTTAAATGTTATAACTGGACCCTTATAAACTTCATGTAACTATAAAACAAATAAAATTTTACCTTTCATTATATCGTTTAACCATCAAATTAATCCTTTTTAACATCAAATTTTGCTTCTTTTTTATTTTAAATTAACGTTTTTAACTTCATATTAACTTTTTTTAAATTTCAAAATAACCCACTTTAATTACTTTAAAAAAAAAAGTTGAGGTGGTATGAAATAAAGGCATGTTAAGTAAAATATTCTTGTATATTTGTGATTTTTTTTAAAAATAGAATAAATAGGCTCTTAGCAGACCATATGGCAATTAATCGCAATTAACATTACAAAATTATATAAAATTAAATATAAAATGAAGGATTCTTTTTTTAAATTGAAAATTTTAAAAAATTTAAAATGGTTTCCTATATGAAATACCACATAAAAATTATTTGTAATTAAAATTAAAAGCGTCTAAAATTAATTTTAAAAACAGATTATTCTTTCATTAATCCCGTTTTTTAATATATAACTTTTTTCCATAAAATTAACCCTTTTTAATTTCAATTTTACCCTTTTTTTTGTAAAACATTACAACTTGATAGACTTAATGTAGTATTATTAGTAATAGTGGATGGTGTTAGTGTTGAATTGTAGTTGTTGATTATTCTGTTAATTATGTGTTTAGGGTAGAGATTGTTATAGAGGACTGTTTGTATATCTTTATGTTCTTGTGGTGAAATGATTCATGGCTTAGGGTAATAATTCTGTGAAGTAACCCTTTGGCCGTGTTTATTATTGTATGAAGAGGATGGTGAGATGTAAAGTTGAGGTAGCGATCTGTGTTTCTTGGTTTTTGATACCAATCTGTGATTAATGTGCCATCTGGTTGTTTTATTACGAGTGTATCTAAAAATAGTATTTTTTATTGTTTTCGATTTCATGTGTAAATTGTAGGCGTGGGTGAAAGCTATTAAATATATCTAATGTAGCTTGAATTTTGATCTGTGGGAACTGCTGTCAATATATCATCTACGTATTTAGTGAGGAAGGGTAATGTGAAAGGAAGTTGTGGTAAGACATAATAGATGTGTCATAATTATGTCTGCCAGTATCGGGCCTATATATAAAAAAAATATATTTTGCATTATATAAATTCACTTTTCCACATCCTAAATGTATTTGTTAAATGTAAACAATGTTTGTAAATCCCAGGCCCTGAAGATGATCTCAATAAAGATCGAAACGTTGGCACGATAAAGAAAATGTTTTTCTGAAACCTACATCACACCAGACCACATCTCACGATCTCTGAATAATTACATTCTAGTATATTTGCGATTTTTTAACATAGAATAATTGAGCTCTAGAAGACTAAATGGAAATCAAAATTAACATTTAAAAGTATATAAAGCGGTTTTTAAATAAAATACAATATATTAATCACAAATAAAATTAAAAGTGATATAAAAACAAATTATTCTTTTATTAATCCCAGTTTTTTAATATATAGCTTTTTTAAAAGGCTATATTTGTTTATCCACTTAAATTTACTTATTAGTTAGGTTTTAATTTTTTTTGTAATGTACAAAGGCCGAGTAAAATAGGAAATAACCTTAAACCAGACTAAGCCCTGAAAGCTTATTATTTCTTCGAATCCTCTAATTTAAGTCGGCAGTAGGAACAAAAGGGGGTTTGAAATTGTCCAAACGATCAAAACAACTCGAAAACAATCCGCTTACTGATTGTCCACTCAAGGAAAACAGGGTCGAAACAATTTGATTAGCATAAAAGGTGTGTACTAAACTTGTACACGTATATTACACTGAAGAAAAAACTAATTAGGAAGAAAAATAACAGTGTCATTAACATGTGCAATAACGTAAGTAGGTCAATAAAATAAGATAGATTACAAAACTGGAACTATAACAAAAAGCAGGATAATAAATCAGAATAAATAGCCCCTTAATTTTGGAGTCAAATTTACATACAGTTTTTATACACAGGATTCAATTAATACGTAGTAGAAAATTAGTAGACACATTGGATGAATCATTTTAACAATCCTCATTGATTCATTTCCTTCTAGAGGGATATAACAATAAATTATAATGATGTATATTGAATATTAAACTGAATCGAAGGCCTTTGAGTTCATAGATAGATTTCAAAATAGACGCACTAAACAAGTTATTTGATTGTTACAGTGTTCACTCAATTGCTAATCTATTACGTTTAAACCCTACTAGAGACAATAAGGTCTAATCACGAAGCCTTAATGTATTTGTTTATGATTTTTGAACCCACAAACTGATTACTCGAAAGTAATATAAGTAAACATGTTAGAGTGTGTTGAATTGATTTTCTTATTTTACTATATTCGAATTTTTCACGAAACTTTCGTCTATCGTGTCCGATCTCTGCTAACAGTTGTCCTGAAAGGTTTTTGTTTCTTTAATTAAGTGAAGAATTCTTGTCAAAGGAATGGTATTTTGGTTATATTGCAAAAGAATGGCTTTCCTATGTACTATATCATTTGCAGGGCAGTTGTGTGGTTCTCTTATCAATATCTTCTGTGGACATTGCCGACATAATTCAACTGTTTGTAGACTCACTTTTTTTCTTTAAGTAGCTGGAGCAAGTATTGTAAATGTACCTGTCAACTTTCTGTTGAATAGCATTTCCTCTTTCTCCAATTGGTTTTGGTTGTTTTTGTGTCTTTTACTTGTTTCATGCCTGGTTCCTTTGTTTTGTGTTCTTTAGTACCCAAAAATTCAGTTCTTTTCATGTATGTGTATTTGGGCCTATGCCTTGTTCCTAGGCTCTCTTTTTAGCTAGGATGTCTGCTGCCTAAAATTCCCTCATGACGTAGGACTCATCTTAGCGTAAGGATAGTTATAGATCCAAGTTATTTATTATTGAGATATAGGTATTGAGGCAGACCCGGACATGTTGCCCGGTACTGGGTTATTTACTCGATCCGGGTTTTTAAATTACTTTCTCTCAGCAGACAGAGGAGACAGTTCCTTACTGATTATGGGCAATGCTGAATGCGTTTGAGTTATTAAAAAACTCACGAGTGTAGACGGACCCGATAACTAACCCGATGCCGGTTCACAATGTGTGCGAATCGCTAACACCCATATCAACAGTGCCGGGCAAGTTTTTTGAGTTGGAGAGCCTTCAGAGCTGCCTGATTATACCATAATAAATATATGGTATGCAATAAATAATATACCATAGTATTATTATTGCACCCTTGAGAATTTGTTATTTATTTCATGTGCACATGTTTCTATTGCTAGCTGTTCGGCTTGAAAGATGGTTGTGATGAGGCCGAGGGCCAAGTAGTGCTCGTACCTATGGCAAACCCCTCCCTCATACCAGTACCATTTTCAATCTTTGAGCCATCTTCCATAGAAGAGCTCCAAGTTTATCTTTTTTATATCTTTCCATGTTGCTCTGTTTTAAATAATTATTTTTCGGATACTATAAAAACTATTCCACATAATTATTTAATGTGTGGTGTTTAGTGACAGTTAGTCAATTATTCGGAGATCGTGAGATGCGTCTGGTGTGACGTAGGTTTTAGAAAAATATTTTCTTTATCGTGCCAACGATTCGATCTATATTTGGATCATCTTCAGGGCTCAATAAAGATCGAAACGTTGGCACGATAAAGAAAGTTTTTCTAAAAATCTACGTCACACCAGACCGCATCTCACGATCTCCGAATAATTGACTAACTGTCACTAAACACCACACATTAAATAATTATGTGGAATAGTTTTTCAAATTCCAGTATTTTGTCTGATAATTCAGTGGATAGTTTTAGCCGTGTTAATTATTTTATTTTTGTCGAGAATTTTCGAGTTTTTTCAGAATAAGGCTTTGGGTATAGTTTAAGATGATGCTGAGACATGCTATTCTTCGGATTTTTTTTTAGTTGCATATGATTGATCAAGGTTTTTATTTCTCTTAAGGTGTGCATTATTCGGGGTTTGAACACTCATTGGTTATTCGAAAAGACAATGAATCCCACATTGAAAAAGCTGGTTTTAATTAATCGTGACTCATTTCGTTTGCAAATATATCCACAGGGAATGTAAAGGCGCTTGCAAATGTGGTAAATGCTTTTAATGAAATATATTTCATACTAAACTCATGTGAGCCTGTCCAATGTACATACATAGCTCCTCTTTGTCAACTCATATCTTCACAGCAATCTATTTTTACCCGGAGTTCGCAACATCAGAGGCCTATTTCAGTAACTGAAAAATGTCCATTTGGAAATATTATAGTTAGATTCGAATTGCGAGATGCTGAGATTGAACCCGGGACCCTTCCAGTGATGAGTCAACTTAGCAAGTTCTTGTATTTGCTTACATTTCGTAAATCCAAGACGTAATTAATAGTAGTAATCACATAAACCTATTGTAGAAATAGTAGTTATCTGACCAACCTGATACGTCCAATGTGAAATTTTTCTTCCTGATGTTGAGCTTCGGAAGCTTGTCCAGGTCGTTGTTTGATATGTCAAGGGTGTGCATCTTGTTGAGGTTTTTAAAAACCTTTGCGTCAATATCGCTCACGTTATTCGACGAAATGTTGACGCATTTGAGACTGCCATTGAAGCCTCCGGTTATCTTTTTGATCCTGCTCTGGGTCACCGTCAAAGATTCGAGATGCGTCCAGTATTTCAGTCCTGCGTCGAACGTCTCGAGGGTGGCGTTAAACAGGTAGAGGTGCTTCGTTTCGTTGGTCAGTCCAGCTGTTGGGTTAAAAATTAAAAACTAATTTCTCAACAATTGAAACCGATGACTTACGACATGGTCCGTTCTTTTTCACGATGCTATCCAAAGCAACGACGTGGCAACAGGTGAGGACGGAACGGCTCGATTTGAAGCACTGGCATGCCGGACGTTTCTGACACGTCAGGTTAGATGTAAATTCGCAAGAAGCGCACAGTTTGACAAGCAGTAAGCAAAGGAGAATAAGCATTCTCATCTGTAAAAAACAACAAAACCAAACTGTTAAAATATTACATAACAATGTACACATTTAAAAGAAAAAATCTTTATCAACGAGCGACCCGAGAGGCGACCCTTGTAATTTCCGTTACGTTGATTGCTTAACTCGATCGTTGAATAAACGTGAAAATAACATATGCAAATATCGATACAATCCGAGCCAAGCTAACTAGAAAATTGGTGGAATTTCACAAGCGATTACGTTCAACTGTGCTTTTTAATACATTCTAACAGTATCGCTACATCATTGTTAATGAACTGTTATGCCTTCACTTCATGGTGGTCTGTGAAAGTAGAATTGCTCAGTAAAAAAACACCAATTAGAAACAGTTTTATGGCGTAACAAACGAATTTTTTTGTATATTTTGCCTTTTAATTGGCTCATAGGAAAATATCCATATCTCACAACCTTCATCATTTAAAATTTACTGTAAAAATAATGCTAATTTTAATTCGTTTTATTAATTACTCTTAAAATGTATTGTATTTATGAAATTAATTTATATGAGCCCAGTTCGACAATATTGGTTCACAAGATGTATTAAATTATTTAAGTGTACCTGTAACAGTAGGCGAATTTTGTTTCTATCTAGGCTTACAAAATTTAAACAAATATATAAGTCGTTACCAATACTGATTAAGTTTCTTAGTTTTGCTTTCGATGAATTTAATTCCTAATTAATTTAGCATCCTATTTACAATTTAAACTTTCTGCTTTTTTGTCGTTTGAACTATTTAAATATTCAGTTTATTGTAGCGTTACTAAACAAAAAGGAGAACAACATACAGGAAATGTCGTATTTTATGTATACTTCAAATTCATATCTCAAAAACAGCTATTGTAATGTTTATCTCAATATAAAACAATACTTTATAAACACTCGGAATTTTGGACAACCTGGTATATAAAAGCCAAATTTAGGTATGTATATATTTTATGGTCACAAGATATTTACTTTAAAACAAAACCGGTAAATAGGTGAAATAGACAATATTACATATTTTGCCAAAATACAATACATTCTGTACATACCTAAATGCATGCATAGAAAATCTTTAAAAGCCAACACGATTGTTTTATCATGTATTTTTGGTGACATACTTTTTCAAAAATGACGAGCCCATGGTTTTTTCTCTTATAAATTGGGGATAAGAAGCAATAGTCGAGCATAACGTATGCGTTTTTGATGTAGCTTAAGCAAATACATCTTATTGAAAAATACCTGAAGTTATTATTGTTTTTCTCTTTAAAAAATTTGATTTGTTTGAACTATGCTGGAATAATTGAATGGTTCATCTCAAGGCATGATTTTTTGTTTTCATGGTCATGAACGAGTTTAAATAATCATTATTTATCTTTGTTTGCTTCATCTGATAAATAAGGCGATATTATAATACACTAAGAGGAAACTAAAAATAGCGACCCTTGGTTTTTTTAGTAAACAATTGAAATCATTATAATATACAATATATTATAACATAATACGTATAAAATATATATTTCAATATTTTTACTATTTGGACATTTGAAAAGAAAAAAGATATAGCCAAATTCAAAAAATAAACTGGGTAAAACAATTTTACCAAAATGTTGCTATGGAAACAACGAAGAAAATATTCAATTCAGTACGGAATATTTCCTCATCCTGCGTTGATCACCGGTTGCATTCGAAGTGGCATTGATTTTGTATGACATCTGTTTGTCTTATTGCAAAACGGTATTTTGTTATCTGTTTCGACTTTATTTGTGAATTGTAAGCGATGTTGAAAGTTGTTAAATGTGTTTAATGTTGTGTGTTTTTAATCTGAAGGTACTGCTGTAACACGTATTTGGTCAGAAAGGGTAACTTGAAAGGTATTTATGTAAAAACAGTATTTGAGTCATCACTATATCTGCTAGTATAGGGCCTAGATTGCTGGCAATAGCTATGCCGAATAGTTATTTGTAGAAATGGTCGTGGTATGTGAAATACTCGTTTGTGCAGCAGTGTTGAAACATTTTTATGAAGGATGTTGGTGAGAGATTTGTGTGTCGTGTTAAGTCGTGCCATTTGTCGATAATTTCGTTTATTCTGGTTTTGAAATGAAACGAATCTTTTACGTTGTAATTGGAGTATGCGATATTGTTGAGTACGTTCGTGAGGCATTTTGATAGATTGTACGTCGAGGAATTTACAAAGGAAATTATTAGTCTCAAAGGATATCCTGGTTTGACAGTTCCATTTAATTTTGGGGGTGAGGTGAATTATTCTGGAGAAATTTGGAGAATTATTTGCGTATGTGTATTTCTTTGTGATGAAATGTGTGTTGTAGGATTTTATAGGTCGGCTTGATCCGTGGAGTCAGATTTAAGGGAGGTATATGTGTTTGTGTCATTGACGGTTTATCCTCACTACTTCTACAAATTATTGAACAACCGGTCGATAAATAACATACTTTATTAAAATATAAGTACAATGTGTGGTGATTAGTGACCGTTAATCGATAATAATTCAGAAATCTTGAGATGCGGTCTTGTGTGATGTAGGATTCAGAAAACATTTTCTTTATCGTGCCAACGTTTCGATCTTTATTGAGATCATCTTCAGGGCTCAAAGTGTTTGTCTTCTGTGTAATTGTGCCATTCTTGCGTGTTGTGTTGAGAGTAGGGCACTACGGGGGGGGGGGGTCTGAAACTTACATCACACCAGACAGCATCTCACGATTCCTGAATAATTATAAGTACAATAGTACTTTTCTTAATTTAAAAAAAAATTTTATGAGGAAGTTGATATGAGAACAATTCGGAAATTGCTGGGAGATCCTAATTTTATTTAAAAATCATGTTATTTTTTGTTTTAAATAAAAGCTTTGTAAGAAATTTTTTATGGGCAAAGATAGATATTTTTAATTTTGAAAAATGGCAAAAAGGAGGGAAAATTCAAAAGGTGGTGTTAAGATGGGAAGATAGTGTTCGAGTGGATCGAGGTCACGATAGCTCAAGTGGTAGAGCATCGGCGTATCTAGCCGAAGATCGTGGGTTCGAATCCCGCTCGTGCATTGACTTTTTTATCTCAACTAAAAGCCTTAATTAATTGTAATATATTAATTGGTCAAGCGGACCACGAAATTAAAGAAGTTGATATTTTTAATATTTGCATGACTTATAAAGGCAATGCTTTAAAATCTTTTTAATCATACTTGCCCGAGTAACTAACCCCTTGTACTATAAAACAATCGGATTTTACATCACATTTCAATATTCAATGTTTGACCCGACAAAAAAGCGAACCGCGGCCACAAGCGGTTGTCTGAAGGAGCCCGGTCAGTGCTGCATGCTCGTTGAGGGTTTCCAACGAAACGGGTTTTCCTGAAGAGTTTACACATTTCAACCCGACACGTGGCCGATAATTGGTTGGGGATATTACTGCAGGTCTTGGGAGAATAATTTTCAATGCCAAGCAAGCCGGTTTAAAGTACTGTTGGAAACATCCTATTCGCCTACGACCTTCTAGTCGTTGACCGAGGTTCAGCAGCCACAGCTGATCACAAACGTTTTTATGAAAATATCGCGAATGTCCTGATCCTATTTTATCATCAAAAAAATATCTAACCAGGCATCTTCATTCTATACTATCTCACGTGCGGCATCGCTGACATTGAAACTAAATCTTACAAACGTCCGATTTTCGTGAATGTTGATAACTGAATCCTATTTGAAAAACCTAGTCAAGTAGTGGTTTCGATTTCATTCCGAGTGGATTGAGCCGAAGGTCGTGGGTTCGAATTCCGCTCGTGGCACTTGCTTTTTCATTTCAACCAAAACGTTACATAAAAAGAGTAATTAATTGAAAGACGTAATTTGGTCAATAGACCACTAAATATAATGGATTTTTCTAAAACATTAATCACAAAGCAAGTCCTAGTAAAGCATTTCGCCTCACCTTTGAATTTATTTTATTATCATATAGAGTCTCGTCTTAACAAATAGAAGTTATATTTATTTCGATATTTTTATATATTGTAACTGTTTTACGCGTTCACACCGTGGCCTAGCTGAATCAATTTGTCAACTGTTTCTAATCTTTTAAGAATAATTGTCAAGCAGGCTCGTGAAAATTTACAACCCACTTTTAATACACCGTCATTAATCTTCTAAGAAATGCGCTATCTTGGCGCTTGGACAACAAAGCACAAACAGAAAAATGCTTTCCCTTAAATTTTTATCGCTAACATGTCTGCCTACCACGGGTAACTTCGCCTCCCTCAGCCTTCTTTGTGTTATAATTTTTAACAACCTTGGCATACCACCTGTGGCACGACATCATAAACAAAAACCATGAGGATTTCTGCCGGACAAGCATATTTTCCTTTGTCGAAAATACAACAGCATTGATGATCAAAAATAGACTTATTTTGTGCCACGTTGCCAACGGAATGAATTGAAACTAGTGGAATCAACTCGTAAACAAACAGGGCGTGAAGTTTATAGGTCCCACAAGTTGGATATATTGTACACAAGGAATATATTGTGACAAAATTTGATTAAAAAACACTAATAATTGTTAAACACAAAAGAGTGGATGTAACACTTATAAGGGGTGAGAGCGAGATAAGTGAGTAAGAGAGAAAGAGAGAGAGGGTGAGAAAGAATGGATGTACAAGCGCTTTTATTTAGACGCATAATGGAGCGAGAGACCCATTAAAAACAAACAAATAAAGAAAGACAAAAGAAAAACGTTTACGGCAGAGGGTCATTCTTCATCAAAATATGTTTTTTTACATCTTATGGAAATTGGTTAATAGTTTAATATTTAACCAGATCAATACCTAATTCAATCCACTTGAAATTCCTAGATATTATCAATTGCTGAAGTTGCAGTTGCGAATAGAATACTTTTTACGTAAACAATGCCTGTTGTTTCAGTAATAAGCGATCAGCCTGGTAAAAAAAGTCATTTCTCAGAGTTCACCCTCCCCCGAGGCCTTTGCACACTG